TGGAGGTAAAATGGTATGCATATAATTTTGACACAATCAGATAGTGGACCCTTAGAGTTATACGGAAAAAAAATTAATGAGACACTCTTAAAAGGATGTCTCAGTATGGCATGCTTATTGTCTTCTCAGTAGATGTGGCATTTAAATGTAGTGAGCAATGGCCACATGCAGGAAGTAATTCTGAGAAATAAATGACAGTAACAGTCCCAGTCTCCTGAATGGAGGTGAAAGTGGTTTGGCAATATTCACCCAAGATGATGTTCATTTATTCAGTATTGAAATTAAAGAGAGAACAAGGGAATGTCTGTGTGTGCTGGTGAAAGTGCAACATGAAATTAAAATAGATTCTAAAGTTGCAAATGAGCTGATATATCCCAAGCGGCATCAGCACAAAGTAAGAGACTTTCAGTAGCAGCAAAGGATGACGTAAAGGTTAAACTTATATGTTCAGATCTCTGCTCTTAGTGGTGCAAGGTATACTAAAGAAAAAACCCAGAACACTTTAAATTGTTGCTCTAGACTTCAGTTTGAGCAGCAACTCTAAATCTAGGTCCTCAGAACACAGTGAATGTATATTTGAGGAAGCAAAATATGCAATAACTCATTGCCAAATTTCCTTTAAATACCCTTTTTCCTTTTAGGTTATATGTACGTTTGGCCCAAGTTACAGAAATGGAACTATGGTATCTACAACTGAAAGAAGACTGAATGATACTGTGGTTAAAGAGAAGGTCATTAAGTCAAAAGGTCTTTTCATATCTTACATTTATTTTGAAAAATATTACAGGTACTCTGGCAGGGATAGGACCTGCTCCTTGTGATATTTCCTCCCCAACTCTGATAGACATAAGTATTCCAGAGTTGCAGTACAGCAAGCTGGACCCACGGCCTATATTGTTCTTTGTGTTCCACATCAGTGTGAATGCCCAAGGCAATGCTTTTGAATGCTGAGTCTATTCTTTTTTTTTTGAGACAGTAAAAAAGGAGCAGTTCTGGAGGCCGTAATGGCTGCCTTTTTGTTGTAAAAGGGTTAATACAATGATAATACTCTGACAAACAACCACCTTTAAATAATAGTTTAAGTACAATCATAAGCAGAAATGCACACATATAATATTTACTTAACCTTACCTTGAAAATATGGTATTTTCATATTTTTTACTTAAATTTCTCAGGACAGATGAAGCCTGATCACAGAGAAACCTTTAGATATGGTTTTAAAAATTAAAAGTAGGGTTTTTTGCATAGCAGGCTTTTTTTTCCTGGTAATGTCTATTTTAGTATCTTTGCTTGATGCAGTTATGTAGGAAGAAAATCTACTCTAGTAACACCAGGGGAGGGTCCAAGAAACCGTACACTGCTTGTGTTGGTTTTCAAAAAAATAGTACCTGTCTGTTAAGAAATGGGAACATTTCATAAAGTACAAACACAGTACCTTTGAGACTGAGAATTCACGGCCTGAGATTTCCATGGCTATCAGGCAGGTTTTCCTGAACTGGCAAAAGTAGAACCATCATTAATGGGTAAATAGCAAAAGAGAAGGAAAACCGGTATTTAACAGTCTGAACAGAGGAAGTGAGCCAGCTTTCGATGTTTGGCTTTACTTGTTGAATGTGAAATTATTATATAAACCCAGAAAAGGGCTTGGAAAGGTTTTAGTACTTTCAATATCTACATGGAATTTTAAGAATCTTTTTTACAGCTATTGGGGCAAAGTGGAATTTTATTTGAGAACTGGTAGTAAGTAGCATAACAGTTGAAAAACATCTAGAAATGTGGCTGAAAAACAGCCTAGTATCCGTCCAGATGCCAATTCTATTTCATTGAATTGCAGTTTAACAGCAAACTACTATCATGGAAATGTTATTGCAATTAATCTTTCTCTGTACTTAATTTCATTGTTAAACTAACATGAAATAAATAATGCTTTAGATCAAGCAACGAATTAGATTAGATTAGAAGGAATCAGATCTTAGACAACTGTTGTACACTGACTCTGGACATGTTCCTCTTTTCTTTTACAGCAAAAACAGTAATATGGTCTTGGTCTACATGACTGACTGTTCTACTTAAGGGCATGAAGACTTAGAATGTATTTACTGTGACAAAACTGGTAAACGAGACAAGATCTTGGAAGATGCCATCTGAAGATACCAAAATACATTTTTCTGATAACTATTTTCATTTCAGTCTTCCAGAATGGCTAAAACTAAAATGAAAAAGATAAGACAAATATTTTAATGTGTATATATATATATATAATTATTTTGCAAAATCACACTTTCAGTCTTCTATGATCCAGCTTCCAATACAGGCAGTAGGAATTTTATAATTTTCATCTCCAAGGACCAACGAGTAAAGAACAAAGATTAAGCCCCTTGCTTACTTTATCTTAAAAAATGATGGAGCGGTGGAGGTAATCCAATCAATTTGTCTTCGTATACAGCATACGAAATCAAGATCATCTAATTTATTTTAATTATAATATATCTGCATTTTCACTTGTTTTTACAAAATAATATACCTTACCATTTGAGAATATGACACTGCTAGAGCTCATGACACATGATGTGCATTAGTACTTATAATTTAATATTTATTTAAATGCTGCCTAACAAAACTGCAAATTTAACTTGAGAGTAGTAAGAACTACCATTTCCATCAGGTTCTCCGAAATGCTTCACAATGAAAGCTGGTGTCATCTGCGGTTTTTAAGACAGTTAAACATGGGGCTTTTTCCCTTAATAAGTTTCCAAAATGAAATCTTTTATTAGGTGTCATGTTTGTTGTTTATTTAGCTTTTAAAAATTCAATAACAAACAAGTTCCCAACATCCCTTTATAAAAGCAAAAAATTAGGGTCTAACACAAGAGAATACTGAGCAGAGATTAAAACAGAGCATCATGTTAGAAGATTGATCTAAAAATAACACATTCATAGAGCACCTTAGTGAATCACGTTTATCATAGTACACATCTTAAATATTCCAAAACTGGTTTGCCTGAAAATTGTTTTCTCCTGGTTTGTTTATTCTGTAGTAAACTAAGGGCTCATTTCTTCTTGTAATTCACAGTGAGCAGTATTTTACTTCCCAAGAATTCTTATGTCAGAAGGATGTGTGGAGATATCTGTGTGCAGAAAGGTAGATGACAAACTGGCTTTTAGTTAAGAAAAGAAAAAAAAAAGGCCCAAGGACATTATACAATGAGGAATCCCAAACACTAGTAGGAACAATGCATGTATGTGAGTTAAGAACAGATCCATCACTGTGCAGATCACAGTGAAATATTTTCAGTATTCACATTTTGCTATGAAAATATTGATGCCCACAAAGGAAGCCAGGAAATACACACTAAGAGAACCAACTGTATACACCAATTAACTGAGTTTTATAACACTGATAATCAGTGAAAAGAAGAAAATTCAAACTTTGAGAAGTATTAGTAAACATATAAATGTCTGATTAAATATTTTCCTTTCAGAAAGCAACCACTTTTCCTAGCATACAAAGAAAAAAACGTATTTTCAAACGCATATATTTAAAATCTGTCTGAAAACCAGTTGTCATTGATTTCATGGCTTCTTTTCTATTTCTTTTATTTTTTTTTAAATCCTTTTTAATGTGATTGAGTTGGATAAAATATGCATTCAGTGAAGGAGAAGTTGGATGCACTATGGTGAGTGTTCAAAACACTAAACATTAACTTGCAGAACTGTGTTCTAATCTCTTCTGGAATAAATGTATTGTTAATTACTTTTCCAAATCAACTCAATTTCAATAATAAGAGTGGTACATGCCTCTCATTCCTAGCACATACCACTATCCACAGCCAAGGAAAGCCTTCTCTGAGGGCATTTGTGGGTTTGACCTTCCTTGACTGGTAACAACCAGACGAGAGTTCTCACTGCTAAGCCTTTATACCAAGGCAAGTCTCATTACTACTGCTTTTTTGAAAAGGAAAGCAGTTTTGTTAGGCTCGTAATTAAAAAAATACCATTTAAATTCCTAAGGCTTATGTTGAGAGTGTTTAATTTTTACTAGTCATTCACATTGTGTATGGTTTTGACTACAAGAACATTTGAAATCTTGGTGTCTTCTAATTGTCTTCTAATTTAGAAGATTGTTTCAGACCTACTACACTGCTGAATAAAAGTAAAGACAATGTTTTTGGTTAACCTAGTTACGTTTGCTTCAACACTAATAGTTAAGGATCAAGGAAAGTGAATGAAGTACAAGTTAATGATCAAATGAGTCCAGAGGAGGGCCACAAAGATGATCAGAGGGCTGCAGGTGGAGGAAAGGCTAAGAGAGTTTGAATTGTTTGGATGGAGAAGAGAAGACTCCTGGGAGACCTTATAGCATCCTTCCAGTACCTAAAGGGTACTTACAATAAAGCTCAAGAGGGACTTTTAACAAGGACATGTAGTGACAGGACAAGAGGGAATGGCTTCAAACTGAAAGGCGAGTAGGTTTAGATTAAGGAAGAAATTCTTTACCATGAGGATGGTGAAGCACTGGAACAGGTTGCCCAGAGAAGCTGTGGATGCCCCATCCCTGGCAGTGTTCAAGGCCAAGTTGGATGGGGTTCTGAGCAATCTGGTCTAGTGGAAGGTATCCCTGCCCATGGCAGGGTGGTTGGAAATAGGTGATCTTTAAGGTCCTTTCAAACCCAAACTGTTCTGTGATTCTATGAAAGGAAAAATAGAAGAATGACAGCTTATTAAAAGAAATGGAGATTGACCAATAATTAATTATCAAGTAGTTATTTTATAAACATGGAAGATCAATATTAAAAACCAAGTAATTTATAGGTATTTATAATAATTTAAGATTAGCATGTAGTTATTTTTTTAAAAAGTTGTATTAATTTCCTTTTCACGTTGAACATGTATGACATTTTAATCTGCTTTACTGAAGATATATATATGAAAAACAGGGATTTAAGTGTGTATTAAGGAACAAAGAAATAAAGACTTTCTTTGAGAAAAAGATGCTTTTCTGAATTACGTAGAAGCATATATCAGAAAATTTATTTGACAATGTACCTCTCCTTTGTACTGGATTTGACAAACGTGGACCTGAATTTATACAGGTTTATGAACCAGGAAAAGCAATTACATTGATGTTTCTGTAGTTTTTAAAAATAATTTACTCTTCTGAAATAACCATGTTAGGTTTGGATGTACTCATACAGTCATTAATTCATTCTTGGTCAGTGCAGGCATTCTTCAAATTTCTTACCTTCCAGGTTTAACTGAAAAATCATAAATGCAATCAGATGATAACCATAGTACTCATGAGACTGACAATAAAGTGTTCATCTGTGTCACACTTGCAACTCATGTATTTTTAGTGTGTCTGCTGAGATATCTCAAGAATTTCTTAGAAGAATAAACCCCACAAATTCTGCTAATCTGAATGTATGCATATTGTATAAATCATATGCTATACAGCCTCCCTGTGCGATGCACTAGTATCCCAGAACTGATACTGAAGTCATGCAGACTGAGAGAACTTTTCTGATTTTTGTCTAAAGCCAGACAAAATATTCTTACAGGAAATATGCCTAGCATCTTCCTTGTAGACAGAAGATGTCTACAAGACTAATATGATTAGAATTAGAAAACTGCAAAAAAACCCCCAAACCCCCAAAAAACTAACTTAGGACCATATTAATTTCTCATTGAATAAGGATTCCTCATTTTGTGTCTCTTCTATTGACTATAAATCACCCAGAGGAGACTGGAGCTTACACTGACCTCCAATTGATTAACCTGGTACAGTCTGTATTTGTATCATACTTAAACTGGACGTGTATATATGGAAGACATAAGAGTCTTCTGTTATGCTAAAAGCATACTGTAGTATTCAGCTATATGCAAATTTCTCAGGGAGAGTTCTACATATCATGAAGGAACAAAAAATGTTGCATCTGGGATCTGTTAAGATGCCTGTCTAAGAGAACAGTGGTGCCCTTGAGTTGCTTGGGTTTGATATTGACATCAGTACTCAAGCAGAAACCTTGCTTACTGTGAGACATTTTGTTCAAGTTAGGAGAGTAAATTGGTCCCCTAAGTAATATAGAATCCAAGTACTGCTAATTTCACTGAAAGGACCCAGAAAAAAGAACAAAGGATATTTGTTAAAACAGAATAACAGATGCAATTATCTCTTTCTTTACATAATTTTCATGTCAGATTTATAATTTTACATACATTCCCTTTTGAAAAGAAGTTGCAATGATTAGCCACACTATTTTCTTACAGTGCTCAGAAGGAAACTGCCAGTTTCAGGACGGATTTCCTTTTCACAACTGCCTGTAGAAGAAACACATCACCAACTACAGTACAAATGCATACTATCATAAGATTTTAAATTTTTATGTGCATAAGGTGCAATTCAGTCTTATTTCACAACATACTGGTCATAGATTTAAACCTTTTGGCAATTATAGGATGGGTTTTTTGTTTGTATGGTCCACAAGATCTCTCTTCCAGAGAAATAATAATAAAAAAAGAGTTTAAAGATCTCCTATAAAATTCAAAATTTTCAGCAAATAAATGTTTGTATATTGCCTGACCAAACTAGTAAAAAATAAATTGCTTTACTTGTTTTGTGATTTCCCCAGATTTTTTACATCTTTAGTGAAGAGTTGTAAGTGTCAGTTTTTCTGGGGAATGTCACCAGTTGGAACCCAGATGATTGTGTGCACTTTGTACCTGCTCAGGTGGCTTTGCTTTACTGATTTGGTGTTTGAGAAGTCCAGACACTAATGCTCCTAATGATCAACCATTCTTTTTGGCTTTTGGTAACAAGTATTCTCATGCAGTTAATATCAAACAGAACTTTGTGCTCTACATCAGTTATTTCAAAATTCCCATTTTTGAACTCCCCTAGTCTCAAGTAAGTTGTACATTGTCTCCCTTTTTTATTGCCTACAATCTTTTCTCCTACTTCCAGGGCTCCATGATGTAAAATATCATTTTGCCGATCTTCAGTTCCAGTAACAACTTTAATTTTACTGATTTTAATGGGCTTTTCAAATACAATTCCATAGAAGTCTCCACTAGAAGGAGCTTTGCCCCAGAAATACTCATCAATGCTACTGTAAGCCTTGCTTGCCTCATAGTTTTCAAATACATTCATGTTGGTGTGCAAGTTTGCAGGTGGGTTGTCAGGGATATCAAATGATTCCTCTTCAAAATCATCATCCTTTAACTTGTTTTCAGCTCCTTTGTAAGATGAGTAGTATCCCATGTGCTGGAACAAAGATGGTTTAAAACGTATCACTTCCTTTTGAGCTAACAGCCCGCGAAAGTGGATGAGTAACCAATCGCAAGGCATTTCTTGGTAAAACATCAACAGAAAGTGAGCCAGGCGTGGGAGGTCATGAGAATGATAAAGCTTTCCAATGTATCCCAGTTTGGAGAATTCCAAAGTCACCCAGTAGGATCCTTCTCGTGAGGCAATTACTTTCTTAACAGCAGTCAAAAAATTCTTTGAACAGCGAACATCATCTTCTAGCATCACATAATAGTCAGAAAGATTAGCACAAAAGTTTAGAAGGAAAGCGTAATCTACATTTTGTTTTGATCGAAACTTCACACGGTCCTCTGGGTCATTGTAATTTCTTTTGAGGCCATCCAGTACAGGATAATAATCCTCAGGGACGTGAATAACTATTAATCTGCCTGCAATTATATGATGTGCAAATTTCTGTGAAATATCCTGGACGATCCCTTCACACCAGGCTGAGTCAAAATCTGCCAGTTGTACTACCACTGCGATTTCTTTGAGTTCTTCATAGCTTGACTGTTCAAATATGGACTTGATGGTCTCAAGTAAATAATTTCCCTTTTTCCGTTTTACAGAGGATAGTCCAATTGTAAGATACCCTGTACGAAAGACAATTTCAACAAAAACTGGGTATTTGATATTGGAAACACTTTTGTCACAAAGCTTGCCCTCCAGAGCTCTGCTTATATGAAATAAATCTCGTGAATGGTGAAGAGTGAGAAATTTGGTATGTGAACTTAAATTGCATGCAATAAAGGACCTTTATTGCCTTTTTGTAAAGAAGCAATGTGTTGCAAGCAAATAGACATATGGAGACTATTGTGTTAAACATTTACTTGTTAACTGCAAGGAATAGCATGTCGTGGTCAGATGTGAAAGCAATGTGTATGTATACACCTGGTAGGTGAAACCACACAGAAAATTATAAGGGTTTAAAATCTGCTAAAGAAAGGGGTTTATGAGGTGATTACTCACACAGTATTTTTAAAGCTAAGAACTACCAAATGCAGCACAAAAATATGATACATAGAGTAATTGCCAAACTTTTATAATTTTAAACCCTCTAAAAGTCTAATAACATTTATACACAACTGCAGAGTGTTATGGATTTTGCATGGATAATTTATTTTCAGCATATTTGTTCTTTAGCTGAATTTGTCCAGTTTTTCCTTGCTAGTTCTTTTTCTAACTCTTTTTCAGGACTCATTGAGCATTTTACAGGGAACTCCTTCTTGCAAAATGCAATTTAGATATTATTTTAAAGTAAAAGAGAATATATTTCTCTTCTTGCTTGTACAAATAATTTTTAATGCTGTTACATCTTTCTAGAGAGAGATGTATTCTAATTATAAGGGAAGAATTTTCATCTCTGCCATTTTGTAGTCACTGCCATTGCATTTTTACCAGCATTCCAAATTAGTTTTGTTTTCAGATATTTGCTAATATATCTCTATTTTTCTAACTTCTGATGTAGAACATGTTAAGATTTTATAATTGACAGGGTGTACTTCAGTTGAACCTACCCCAACTTTCTTAAAATATGATGTTTTGTAAAAGACTGTTCTGATATAGTGATTCAGTGTTTCCTCGAGGCTTAAGTCTGCTCAAAAAGCAGTTGTACAGTGAAGTACAATCCCAGAAGTCATTTGCACTACCTACAGAGCCTCAAATTTTTCAAATCTAATTTGAACAAACTTTATAGCTTTCTACAAATAACAAACTATTTTATTTTACCTTCTGTTTTTGAGCTTCTGAGCTTTGAGAAATGATTGATTTGGAACACAAAGGACACCTGTCTAAAGGCTAGGAATGGCCATATTTCACTTCTAGAGGAAAGTCTTGAACTTGATTTCTCGTCTGAAATCAGAGTAACTAAATAGTCCATCTGCAGATAACTCTGAGAAGAACCCTTCTTTACTTTCCCCATAACAGCACAATTCACCTCCCTTATTATCACAGCTAAAGGAACAAGGAGTTCCATTTGCAGCTGCTGGGCTGGTAGAATAGGGAACCTGAAGGCTGTATCTATGGGATCCCAAGCATACTTAACATTGGATTTACTGGTTATACAGACAGAGATTGACAGGATGGTCTCAGAGAGCTGTTACAGAAAACCATCAGCATATATGCCTTGCTTCTGCTTTCTAAATCATCATCACCTTGCCTGAGAGGAGGCATCCATAGAAGTATGCTCACACAGACCATCCGGGGGCTGCTTGCAGGCTGTCTGCAAGTCAGCCATTTGGTCAGAAGGTAACCAGGCTGTGGGGCAGTCACTGCTAGGTCTGGACTTGCATCCACTCTAGAACTGCCTGTGCAGAGATAACTGTCCCACTAACTTTTTTGAGATTGTCACTGCTTAACTCAGCTCGTCCTACCTAGAAATACCAGAGGGACTATATGGATTTAACTTATTTTTAAATTGCCTCATTTCATAACATTCAGATTGCAGTTACTTACTTTTCCTTGGCAAAGGTGTGCCAGCTAAGTAGCGATAGGAAATGTTTATAGATCCTGAGAAATTAGACAAATCTTTAAAAGTGTGAACATAACGCTCTGGGTTGAGCTGGTGCGTGGCTGTTTCTCTGATTTGTTGCTTGCCCCCTTCCTAATAGCGGGAAAACAAAGAGAATAGAGGAGGGAGAGAGACAGAGAGAAACACATTTGTGAGTGCCAGCTAAAGAGGAAGCATGGACAGGCAGGTTTCTAAGAATAACATTTTTCAGTGTCAGCTTTTGTGAAAGCATGTATATGTCACCTCATTTAAAAAAAAAAGAAAAACCAGCAAAAAACAAAACAAACCAAAACATTACTGAAACATTACAGAAAATCTACCATGACCCTTCAGATTACAGTAAAAGAAAAGAAAAAAATATTTTGCACAAAGTCTCTGGAAAAATAGCAAATACTAAATTGTTGGCAAAAAAATGCTGTGGTATTCAAAAGAGGGTTTTGTCAGCAACAGATAAGATAACTTTCATCGATGTAGAAGTGGGGGAGATTTTTTCAGTGATTAAAAAAGCCACTGAACCTGTTGCAAATGAAAGACAAAACTAGATTCTGGCATCTGGCTCATTTTGCCATTTTTCTGAGAAGCTTCTACTCAGATTTGTGATAAGAAGAAATACATATGATCATGCAGACAGCAAAAGCTTTCTCTGAATTTGATGAACACTGTTTGATGGCATAGAAAAAAAGGCACATTTCTCACCATGCCTCCTCTTCCTGCCTCCTCCTTCAGTCTTTTTCTTCCAGAAGGCTTTCCTAACAATCGTAAAGTCACAGAAGGGAAAGAGCAGCTTCATGAGTAGTGCCCAATCCATAAGGTCACTTGAGCTTCAGGAAAAATTTGTTCCTTAGTCCTTAAGAAAAGGTAAAGTATCTAACAGGTTGTAACTCCATGAGACTGAATTTAAAAGTATGAATGCTTGTTTAATTTACCTGGTTGGATCTTAGTCTGATGGCAGGTCCTTGTAGAAATGAGTTCATTTATTCTGATATATACATTATCTCTCGAGTAATTTCTCTCTATTGCTTCTGTACTACTTTGTATTTGCTCATAAGTTACGAGAGGAAGTTTGATGAATGGATTCAGAATTAAAATATAACTCAATGGTCTAGGAACAGAATACACCAAAACTTCAAGAGATTTTCCATGAAAAATAGCAGATGGAAAAAAAATGGGCTGGTCCAAAAACTTCTTTTTTATAAAACCAACCTTTCTTTAATGTCAAAATATTATGTGTCATTTGTTCCAGAATAGAGCACCAAAATTTCTTGTTTCATAAGAAGGTTTTGGAATAGAAACCCATTCTGCTGAGGTTTTCCTACATAAAAAGTTTCAAAATGTTTAGAAATAGACAAAGTCAGAACAAAATGTTTTGATTTTAACAAGCTGACCACAAAAATTTTCCTTTTTTTTTTTAATAAATGCCTTTTGTGGCTAACTTTTTTTTTATAGTTGCTATTTTCATTCCTTTGTTGAATGATGGGCAAAACTGAGATATGGATTTTTCCAAAAGCTTAAAATCTGTTTCTTCTATCTCACACTACTATGCAGAGGTCAGTGAAGCTGAGGAGCTTGATTAATTCTCTTTGTTTGTCTTCTCTAGTTTTTTCTATGATGGTTCTGACTTTCATCTGTTAACTAACCTCTAACTTACATTCCAGTGTTTGCTGAAGCTTGCGGGTTTTATATGGGTGCCATAGGTTGAAGTGCCAGAAGTTCTCCATTCTTTATGGAGATACTCTGCTCTGCTAAAGATGCTGTGTCAGCTACAATACTACTATTGTTTTCATAGTGCCCAAAATAGTGATAAGTATTCACAGAAGAGTACAAAACACATGCTTTGCTTACAGTTCACTTACAACTCTGAAAAGGTTTAAAAACTCCACTGCATATATTGTGATATCTGGTATATATTAATTCAGTATGTCTTCAAAATATTTGATCAAATGTAGTTCATATGTTGCAGACGAAGCACCTTAAACTGCTTTTCTAATATACATGCATCAGCAGTGCATAACTGCACACCCTCTATCCAATATACTTAAGCAATTTTGCTCTTTCCATTTCTGCAGCAAATGCCCTGTAGAAAACAGTGATGGGATTTTTTGGACATGTGATACTCTCTGAGCAAAAGCAGAAAGGTTCTCCTCTCCCTTCTTAAGACTTGCCATAACAAATCTTACTTTAATATTCTAATATGTTGAAAAAGACCACTCATCTAATCTTACATGTGGTGCCAGAGACACCAACTCCACAGTCCCTTGCACAGCTTGCTGCCTGAGATCGGGAAGAGGAACTCAGGGTCAGTTGCCTTTCTTTTATCAGTTACCTTCAGCAGATAGTCCAGCAGGAGATAGGCTACAATTCAGAGTGCCTTCGGGGCTTTGAGGACTTTCATATTCTCATTCCCTGAGGGGAACTGGTTAGCGTGTTGTCCTTAAAGGCTTTCCCTAAGTGTCTCTCTCTTTGCCACAAATACTGAAATTGCTCATCTTTTACCTCAGCAGAGAAAACACACCAGGCACAGTGTGTTTGGAGCTGTCAGACATGGTCAGGGAAGTTGAAAATAAATAAACTAAAAAGTCAACAGACTAACACATTTGAAAATTCTTGATGGACCATAAAGGTATCAAGAGATCTGGAAGAACTGTCAGGAGACTTGGCAAGAGACTTGGCTGGGAACTACACGAATACAAACATGCCAGAACTGTGATGAGAGAAGCAATGAAAGAGAGAGAATTTATAAAAAAGTGGGGAAAAGGAGAGAAAATTAAGAATAAGACATGGAGCCATCTGGGGAGCTGGCAAACAGGACGGGAAAAGATTTCAAAAGCAAACCAAGAGGAACACCATTAGCAGTAATAATAAAAGTACTTTCAAAAACATCTGGGGGACTTTGAAGCAATTAGAGAATGGGGAAGAAACACCAGGGCAAATACCACTAGGGAAAAAAAAAAGTGACAAGGCAGGTCAAATTTGATCATAACCAAGAATTGCTAAATAAATAAAAGAGTGCAAAACTTTAGTTTTAGAGAAAGCAATATATCTGTAATGGAGTAATATGATAGAGGCATGGGCTATGTTTTCAGTGACTTAAAAAAATACTAGCATAATCTTAATTTGTAAATATTTACAATACTGTTATAAGTAATTTCAGAAGTAAAATATTTTGAATTAAAATTATTAGGAAGTTATATATGGTTCTGATAAGTAATTTAAAGATTATACTATTTGTGTATTATACTTTTTGTAATACTGTTGTGTTTCTTTTCAGGTCCAACTGAGATTGAACTTCACCTTTCAGAATATTGGAAAGCCCATACTTTCCCAGTTCAATTCAAGATCAAGATAGGAATGTCTAATCACATCACAGTATAACATATTCAGTTTAGTCATTTTGCTATTTGCAAGCTCCAGTTGTTAAGCCACCATGCTCTTTTACCAGACCCAGTCCAACCTCCAAAGAATTGGAAATCCAATCCACTAATCAAGACTTCAGGGCTTGTTTGACATTCAGCACTGAGACACTCTATGTTGCATACAAACTGTAAAGTCATGTTACATTGTTAGAAGCTTATTTTTTGAAACTCCTAACACAAACCTTTCTATTTTTTTCTTTTCAAAATCATAAATTTAGACTAAGTTGAATTTACATCTAATTGTTAATGCTGTAGAACTGAACCTGTCCGACTCAAATCTGAGATATAGAAGGTGAGAAAAACATAAAATAAAACCACTAAAAAGAAATTATTCATGCAAGGAGTTTAAAGTAGATGGAATTAATGAGAGTTCTCTTTTATAATTTAATTTTTATAATAGCCTTTAATGCACCATTCACAGGTGAGATTTGCAGTGTGGACTGAAATTATCTCACACGAATATTTCAGATGTAGTCTATTTTCAACATTAAAATTGAGGGAAATCCAGAAGTATGGAAAATACAGAGAATATTTTGACTCAAAGGGCACCTGATGGAGATACCTTCATGTTTTGCTATATTCATTATCTCCCATACTTCCAATAAACAGAGACATATTTACTTCTGTGAAAAGGACTGTTAGGATCTTACTGACACACTGTATATGGTATACATTAGGAAGATGATTTCATCATAAAGGACACATTTTGAGGATACTTCATTGTTAATGGTACACAAACAGAGAAAATTGAAGGAATTATGAAATTTAGCGTTTAACTAGGGATGCATCCTGTTTTGTTGTTCTAGGATAATTTCTCCTATCTAAAAAACTTACCAAAACGTAACCATCTTCAATGTACAGGTTCATGAACAGCAAGCAAACGACAAGGATTCCTAAGAATGACACTGCTGATCTTTTCCGCAAGCATCTCATTTTATCAAAATATTTCAAGCTGTGTCTCGTGTGAAGAACAGCATACAGTATTGTCACCTATGAAAGAAAACCACAGTATTACAAGAACTGTCTGCCCAATAAACATTATAACAAATCAACTTACCTTCAGATATATCAAATCCCTTCAAACACACATAGACTATACGCTTTCAGGTGAAATTAATTTCATTTAATAATTGTCATCTTCAAGTTCCATATACAATCTTAACTATAATTTAAACTTCTCTTTTTTGCTTGTTTATTTGTTGTGGGGGTTATTTTTTCAGTAAATAGAAAAAAATATTACCATACCCATTTTAGGTTGGAATTATGATGTCACTATGGCAGGTGTGCATCAGCAGTTCAGTTTCCCATGCTTAACTGTCAGATCCCAACTTGATGGCTAGAGATGACGCTGTGCATTGTTTTCCTATGTACCTGGGTCTCCTCCCAAAGACAGGTCAAGCCAACAGGCAAGAACGAAGCTATTGCATGACTCAGTGTTGTTGCCAACAGAGGAATTCTGGATACCAGAACTTCCAGGCACAAATGAGGTACCTTCCCTGAAGTGAGAAAGCAGTAGCAAGGCTGTGCAACATCCCTTAACCTTAGACCTCTGTATCACAATGGAAAAACTCTCACTGGAGATATAATTCTCTTCTTCAGAAGAAAGGTGTATGTCTGTCTAAAACTAGACACATTTAAACAGAGTATTGGGAAGTCCTGACTTAATTAAATGAATCAAAGAAGGGGGGCATGGAGGACTATAAAGCCACTCAGTAGTTCTATTCAAGGTCAAGAAGAAGGACTACCTAGTCACATCACAAAGTTGCATATTGATTTTAGCCGTTTTACTCTTTAAAACAAGATGAATGGTGTTCTTGCCCACAGAATCATAAACAATAAGATATGTAGGACTACATAGGTTTGAACAAGATTTGGCCACAAAGTGAAGATCGCACTGCCCAAACTCTAAGGGATTATTAGCAAAAAGAGAGATTATAAACTTATTATTTATGTCCTCGCAAATATTTTGACTATTGTCCATAGCAATGCCTGACTTTTCAATGGAATTTAATATATAGAAGTCATACAAAAATTGGGAGTTTGAAGCTAGCCTGTGTGAAGTAGTAAAAAACATAGCATGCACAATGATTAAACCCTGCACTTAAATACCATGATTTTCAAAAGCGTTGAACATCTAAACTGATATATAGTAGGCCAAATTAGGATTTCCATAAAGATTTGTCATGTCATATAGAAAGGTTTCTGCCCTAATAACAAAAAACCTTCCAAGACCAAAATTCAATATATATTTGTTTTGCCAAACTGAATAAATATATCAAATAATATAAAATATGAGTCCATTAGACTCTAGAGAACTGGGAGGTAAATATATCAAATATTAGTAACGCAAATGTGTAACTGCAAGGTTTTGTCTGTATAGATTCACAATGAACTGCAGTAAATGGAGACTGATTGTACACAGAATATTTTTAAATTCACTAGGATGAGAATAAAACCAATTTACATGTCGCACGTAGGAAAAAAGGAATTAATAAGAATTTAGATTTTTGCCCACATTTGTTTGAGGGTGGGCTGAATTACAGAAGCCTGTTTATTCTGAAGGTGAAAAGCCCAATGTAGATTTTTTTTTTAAGTTGCATAAAGGATTTCCTTTTTCTTAAAATCCAATGATCATAAACATCATGAAGAAGCTGTTAGGGACATGAATCTCCAAACACTAGTCCTCCCTAACTCCTTGCACCTCCCTGTGGCAGCACAGAGCTTGCTCATGTCTATAGATTCCAGCAGGCTGTTGAGGAAATGAAAGATTGCCTGTTTTAGAAAAGACTGTGTTACACATACAGTTTGGGTTTCGTTTTTCTTTTTTTTTTTTTTTCCTCCTCTTTCCCATCCCCTCCTTTTTCTCACACTATAATTACTGATTTTCAAAGCAGTACATTCTTTTAAAATCCTATCAGAGGCTCACTGGATGGATTAAATACTGACACTTCTCAGATAGGGGCATTAAATACCCTGACTACTGAAAATGCAGGTAGTCTGAGTTAGAGTGCTTGCAGTCACCGGTAGTTTATTACCTTCTGAAGTTTTTCTTTGGAAAACTTAAGAATAAATAAATGCATTTTTTTTCAGTTACAGGATGACTGTATGTGCCATATTTGTTGACTGGACTGCAGTGTTACACAGTTCCCCCATCTTTGCTCTGAGCAGCCTGACTGAAGTCCCTAAGGATGAGGAAGAAGACTTACAACTGTATTTGCTGGTCATATTATATTAGTTTTTCCCCATTGTATTTTTCATTAGACAGTTACTATGTTGGGTTGGCAACAAAAATTAAGGCAATTACACAGGTGAGGATGGAGGAACATAAAACTGCCATGACTAAAGAAGATGTACAGAAAGCAGAGAGCCCAGTACGATCACCACTCGAAGGAGAACACTGGCATTGCTTGTGTGGTTTCACAGGAAGCCGTTACATTACTGTTTTACAAATGGAAACAGCTCAAAGCAAAATATCATGCATCATGCCAGTGAGGGTTTTTTGCTCATCAGACCTATTGGTAGGTCCATACCGAGTAAAGACATCAAAGAGAAGGACTCCCCGAGGAGAGCGCGCCCCGGTAGATTCGGTAGGTGCCAGGGGAGGCTCTGACAGCACCGCTGACACCAGGTGGCACTGCGGACGCGCTCTTACCAGCCCCCGACCTGCTCCTCGACCTGTCCCTCCAAACCGGTTTGTCCGAAGGCGCTGTTTGACATCCTTATACTAGAAGCCTTAGCTAAAAATGCACCCAGGATCATGCATATGTACATACAGAATTCCTGACGTCTTTTTAGAGCTGCTTCCTCTTGCAGCTCCATTTCCAATCTTTAACATTGCATTGCGGAACACTCCACAAGTGAAATTTGCACAGAAAAAAGGGTAAATCTTACTCGTTTTTTCCAGGTAATGTCATTCAGCTTTTGAAAAATAGTCTCAGAACTTCCTGCACTGAGACCCCTGTTCTTTAAGACCATTTGAGTAGAGTAGTTACCATTACTAAAAATGTAAGACTTTGATGTTGAAAAAAAGGATTCAATTCATAATGTAATTCTGAAGGCACAGCTTCGCTTGAGGATTTTGTGCCTTCATTATTCATGCACAATTAAGTAACTACCAGGATGGTATAAATGCAATTTGTTTCATATAGCTGGTATTAAGCAGTTAAACATAATAATTAATAAACATGAATGAATTATAAATCTCTTCCTTTCTAAATGAGATGTATTGCTTTCCTCAGTCTCTTCAGAGGGAACTTTTAAGACCTCAAATCCTCTGCACATGCATATGTTGCTATCAGACATACATGTGCAGTTTTACATGGTAATACGAAACTATAACTTTGACTTTCTAAAATGATACAGCAATGAAAAGGTGGTGAGCTAAAAAATGCAATGATATACCTTTACATTATGAAGAGGCTGTTCTTTATAAGATCTACAAAGGTGTGAAAGCTGTATAAAAGTCCAAGATTGATATTCTCACGATAATGTGAGATTTTCTCTTGCAGAATTTGCAACACTCAGCAGAATTTTAAAAATTTTTCCAAAAAAGTAAATCCCAAATGACCATTCAGAAACAGTATGTTCTTAATAAACCAAGTCCTTGAAACCACAAAATTAAATTAAAGTATTTAAATATATTAAAATTTTTAAACTTACTAAATTTTTATTACAATATATCTGTTCCCAAGAGGAAAAAAATACATAAAGTAAGATTTTTTCCTTATTTTCCTCTTTTCTGAGTAAAAGACTTTTTTCCCTCCCTATATTACTTACTCTAGGACACATATATGTACATTCACTGTAGTAAACCATTTCATATTTGATCCACTCTAATTCTTCATCACTTTTTGATAACACTAGGAATTTGTGCTTCTTCCCACTTTCAGAGGTTATTGTTTACTTTCCTGACATATTTTCTCTATAAAAAGATACATAAAAAGGCCCTCTATTGTCCCTTTACCCTTAAGGATGCCAACCTGACTTAAGGATTTAGCTTTGCCTAACCAGTACAGTGAATCTGCTTGTATATACAGCTGTACAGAGAGCGACAAGGTCATCTTTGTATTATACTCTAGTCTGCTTGAGCACTGTGCCCCAGAAGCTCAAGAGAAGGTACTTATTTGTAGAGGCATTCATGGCTGTCAGAAATGACAACTGCATTATTTTTATATTCTAATATTTCCAAACGAGGCACAAAGCTTTGCCTGTCACTGCAAAGTAGAGCTGATCCACTGCCACATTTATAATACCAACAAAATCCATAGATAACACCCCCACCACCACCATGACTGGATTATTAAATCCTTTGTGAACTTTATTGCAATCCTTCATTTGTCTAAGGCACTCAGAAGCAGACACTTCATTCCTCAGTTTTGTGAGGTACCATTCCACCTGTAACATTCAGTCTGTAACTGAATCGCTTTACTTGCAGTTCTAAATGTTTATCCTATTTGTTTTTCAGATTTTCTTTTTGGAAGGCTGCACACGATGCCTCAGGATTCCATTCAGTTTTCTTTATGAAGTGGCAGAGGAAATACTTCCAGAAAAAAAAAAAAAAAGGAAAAAATAACAACACGGAAATTTTTTCCATGGTTATTATTGTATTTTGCATGTGTCATGATTTTCTTATGCAAGATTAAAAAACAAATTCTGGGTTGCAATGTATGTTTGAGCTACAGATGGTAGTGAACTGGAGAATTGTAATGGATAGGCTATTCCATGGGACTCAGATAGACTCCCAGCAAGATTCACTGCTTACCTTACTGAAAGCCTGAAAATACTTATGAAATGTTTAAGGTTGACAGGTAGGATGTTTGATGTCACTGGCAGGGAAGTAAAAACTGATCTAAAGGAAATGAATGTTTAACTTAGAATGAGGCTAACAAATCCAGAGGCCACAACTCAGGTTTTAAATTAGACCTAAGTATATTGTTTGTATGACTTTCCATTGTGTAGCTTCACATGCTTAAAATAAATGGTTTAAAGAC